GTTTAAAAAACTAATTTTTGGATTAACAATAATTTATTTTTGTTTTTAATTCCAAAATAACAACTTAATAGAAATCTTATTTTAAGATTTCAATCTTTTTAACAGAAAAACAAATTTTGATCGACGTCTGTGAAACAAATTCTTAAATTAAATGTCAAACTAATTAGAAAATTAAACTTAAACTATATAATAAGTAAAATATAATTCTATAAATTTGGTGAAAATTTAAAGTATCTAGTTACTTATTTGTTTTTTGAGTTACTATAAAATAAAAAATCTATTTTATCAAAAACTGATTTCACTTAATGAATTTTCCTGTTTTAGAGATTCTAAACAGAACAATGAATGTAGATAATGATTTTACAATGGTATTTTTTTTTTTGTGTTGTTCACAGATGCTAAGTAGCTAGATGTTTTTTGGCATAACTATTAAAAATAATAAACTAGATATATGATTTTTTCCACTGTATGTTAACACTACTATTTTCTATACACCATTAAGTATTTTGATTCTTTTTGAGCTATTTATAGCTTATTACATTTTTGATTTCAATAAATATTTTTTTTTTAATGTTTGTTGATAACAAATTTTAGTCAAGTCAAAAAACTTAAAATTGTAATACAAAGTTCATCCAAGTTGTTATCAGTGTAATTTAAAAACCAAGTTACATACTCACAAGATACATTCAGTAGAGCATCTTTTTCTTTTTATACTTAAACATGCTGGCTATTTCAATAATATTATATATTCGATTAACCGGTTATATTATATTAATTGTTTTCCAAAATTTAAACATTTGAGTSGAATGATTTTAACATGGAATCGCAAATCACATAATATGATAACTAGATATTATTGTAATAAAAAATTGATGAAAATGATTCAATAAATAATATAAATAATTTTATATACACACCATTTTGTATAATAATTAATAATTAATAATGTTGCATTAAATTAATGAAATAAATATAAATGAGGTAGACACAATATAATAATAGCTATAATAGAAAATCAGTAACATAATATTATAAAATTAAAATAGCTATTATTCATAAATATTAAATACAAAATGACAGTTTAAGTATGTTGAATTACTCTAACTGGACATGATTCAATCTTGTTCACAACTTTTATAACAGAAGCACGGATAACATGTTCATTTAAATTAATGTTCTCAGATTCCAAATGCGTGTTTCTTACATGGCGATCCAAATTATCTTTACGTGTGAACTTCTTCATACATATGGGACAGTTCAAAATATTTTTTTCTATAAAATTTGATAAAACCATTATTTTAACAACAATAATTAAAATGTATTATTTTATATGATGCATATTTATTACTACTATGAGTTCCAAGATGTCTTTGTAAATAACGCTTTTCTCTAAATCGTTGATTACATAAATAACAAGCCAGTTGAGTAGAGAATATATGTGTCTTTTGATGTGAAACCAATGCATCTTTCAAACTAAATTTTCGTTTACAGATATCACATGAAAATGCTTTAGTTCCTGAAATTTAAAGTATAACTAATTCCATTAATTTATTCTTTAGTTCAGATAAATAATATATTTTTAAGGCCAAATCAAATAAATCTAAAAGAACTAAGCATTAATGCAGTTTTTTTTTAATACGTAAATCTAAAATRACTATTATTTATTATACGAGGTGTGGCAATTAAATAACGAGAATTTTTAATTTTATAACATTTATTTAATATTTACAATGATTTATACACCCATGCCTTCACAGTACTCTCCTCCAAGTCTAACACACTTGGTCCAGCGTTCTTCCCATTTCTGGAAGCACTCCTGGAGGTCTCCAGAAATTAAACTCTTCAAAACCGTTGTTACGGCACGTTGAATGTCCTCCAAATCCTCATAGCGATGCCCTTTCATTGGTTCCTTTAACTTTGGAAATAGCCAGAAGTCCAGTGAAGCCAGAWCAGGGCTGTACCGTTGGTGGGRGGAGCGTTGTTATGTTCCTACTGGTCAAAAACTGTTGAACTTTTAATGATGAGTGTGCAGACGCATTGTCATGGTGAAGGACCCAACCATTTTTGGCTAATTCCGGCCTCACACGAGACATTCTATGACACAATCGCTTAAGAACTTCAATATAAAATACTCCTGTCACTGTTTGACCTTGTGGAACAAATTCTTTGTGCACAACACCCCTAATATCGAAGAAACAGATCAGCATGGTTTTGATTTGACCTTGCATCGCCTTGCGCTGATTCTCGACTTGATGCAAAACGTGATGCCCATTCGTACACACGTGGTTTTGATAAGCAGTCATTACCGAACACACGCTGTAATTTACGAAAAATTTTGGCCGTTTTTTCACCAGATTTCACCAGAAACTTGGTGACGATTCGTTGCTCGTTTTTCACGTCACACATTTTTGTACGTCACGACACTACACTACTAACTTTAAAAAATCGGAGAGCACAAAATATAACACCGATCACTATCAAATTTGGCAGACTTGTGTATTACCTCGTGAACTTAAGGTCAACAAATTTTCAAGGTATTAGTGTTACCACTATAGGAGATAGAAACAAATTCTCGTTATTTAATTGCCACACCTCGTATATGACTATACTATTATTTTAAGTACAAATACCAGAATGTTTCCTAATGTGGTGTTTCTTTAGGCATTGCTTGTTTTTGAAAAATTTTAAACATGTTGCACATTGAAATGGTTTTTCTAGAGCATGAGATTTCATATGAACTTCTAATGATCGCTTTCTTTTGAAACCTTTTGCACATATTGCACAAAAATGAGAACGTACTGAAATACATTAATGCAATGCAAATTGTAATTAATTATATTTTATATGAATACCATAAAGGTACAATTATTATTAATTTTTTTCAATTATTACCTGTATGTACTATTTTATGTTCAATCATTTTAGATTTAGTGAAAAAACATTTATCACAATCCAAGCATTTAAATGGTCTTTCACCTAAATTTATTCAAAAAAAAAAAAAATAATAAATAAATAAAACTTATTCAACATGATCAATACTAAAAAAAAAAAATAAATTCTGAAGACTTAATAATTTGTATAACAAAACAAAACCTAAAACACTAAATTTGTGCAGACAAAAACACATAAGGTTGCTATTATTGTGCTTTATGTATAGATTGTAAATATAGTTAAAAAAATAAAAGTAATTGTTAAAATTTGAGAATAATAATTTTTATTCGATTATTAATTTAATTATGTAATTTCCACTAAAATAGTAAGRCAGTATACACAGTGGTAATAATTAAAAAATGAGATACAGTTAAACCATTAAAATAATTAATGAAACATCTAATTAATTAATTAATAATGTACCAAATGGCAAATGGTAGTAGAAGAAAGTAAACAAACAATAATAATATTTAGGATTTCAAAAAATAATTGATTTAAGAAAAAAATTTTGTATTAGATTTTTAAGATTGTCGCTAAATTTAGTTTTACTAATTACTTTCAAAAAAATAAATCAGAAGTACCAATTTTCTTCAAAGGTCCTTAAGAACTTACTGAACTTTTAGGACCACCAGTATGTAATTTTTATGATACACTACAAAATGGTTGTTTTATAGAATTTAGTAGTCAGTCATTGAGATAATATAGGGAATATAATAATTACTGATATTTAAATATAGATTAAAATATTATTTCTAAAATAGATTTTATTAGAAAAATAAAAATAATATCCGTCGTTACTTATAAATATACGAAAAAACAATTTTTCATTATAGTATATGGATTATTGTATTAATATGTTTACCTGAATGTGTTAACATATGATAATCTAAATGTGATTGGATTTTAAATGATTTATTACATTTATTACAAATCAATGGTTTTTTTACTCCATCTCCATTACATGTTAAATGATAGAAACAATTCTTTTTTGAATTAAAAGTTTTTTTGCAAACAGTACAATTATATTTAACACTTCCATCACCTATAAAATTTTCATTTCAATATATTATACATAAAATTAAGCTTTTAAATTACATATACAAAATAAATAGTTAATTACATTCAATTGAAGAAATGTGGTCAGGAATTTTAAATGGTTTTCTTTTAGTTTCAGCCATTGTATTATCAGCTCTTGTGTCCAAGTCATAACTGTTTAGCTGATTTTTAACATTCGTATTTAACATACACAACTCTAGTGTTTTGTTATGGACTAGTTCTTGGTCTTCCGCGTCACAGTAATACATAATTTTAAGAATGTAGTACAATATTAAATATTTTATGCACCAATACAATTAAAAATATAAATTTTGTGATGTGTGATAAATATAACATAATAGATACATATGTATATATATATATATATATATATATCGACAAATAGGTAGTTTTAATCTATAATACTTTTCATTAAAATTTATATATAAATAATAAGATTAAAATTAACATATTAATTATTAGTATTTCTAAATGACAAAATGTTAAATTACATTAAGTCATTAACAATTAACAATTAACATTAATTAATTATTTTGATAGAAAATAGAATTATTGAAAACAATGATTATGTTATGGTAAAAAACTAAAAAATAAGAATGTGATAAGTCGATAACTAAAAATTGATAACGTATCACAATTTTTTTAATATAAAAATAAATATTGTTATTGTGCAATCGAACGGTTTAGTTTTGAGTATTTAATACTTACTACTTATAATATTCATTATTCTGGTTTTCAACAATTTCTATTGCATTTGTGTCTTGAAAGTATAAAACTCATATCGCGTCTCAACATTTTACCAAGAGCTAATATTAATCATCTGATAAAGTTATGTCATTTATTACAATTCTTTAATAATTGACCCGTCTATCTATTTACTATGGCATCAAACGAACTAAGAAAAAAAGTAAGTTATACTTGAATGGCAAATTTTGGTAAAAACAATTTGCTTTATAGATGTCTACTATTTGTGTTGTACGTATGGTTTATGTTACTAATATTTTTAATTAATGTGAAATTATTTTTATTTCAGGTACTTTCTACTTTCAAATTATTGCATAAAGCTAGATTATTGTGTTTTAAAAATGATTTCCAAATGTTAAATGGTATGTATATATCATTATATATTTTTTATAATAAAAATGAATGATATTGATATATATTGTTAAAATTATCATATTGTTGTTATACTTTCAAACTTTCATAGTTATATCCAATGAAGCGCAAAAAAGGTACAGGGTTGTCAGTTAACATAAGTATCAGAATAGGAGGTGGTAGTGGTAGTCTAGCCAATGTGACCAGGGTCTCTTCTTTTTTTTTTAGTCTTTTTTATTTGCTTGGCTCATTACTGGTCTGCTTAAAGAGTAAAGACTCTGTCAAATATTTATTGAAATATGTAACTATAATTATTAGGACCAATTTTTCTTTACAGGTCCTATACAAAAACCTATCCTTGGGCCTTTGATTTGTCAGACCAGCATTAGGTAGTGGGTCAATGAGTGACTGGTATATATTTACTGGTGGATTAGGTATTCCATTATGAGATGGATTTATAACTGTTATGAATGATATATATGTACCTAGGTAAGATAATTGATCAAACATTTTTTCTTTGGAGGTTCGTATGTCTTCAAAATAATGTTGACACCCAAATGAATATGTACCCATTAGTTATATCRAGCATTGGACAGATGATTTTTAAATTCTTTTATTTTTAATAACTGTCGTATGTATACATAAATATATGACTATTGTGCTTAGTATATAATTAGGCCTTAAAGATTTTTTACAAAATTGGTGATCCGCACAACTAAAAAGGTTGGGAACTGTTGGTCTATTGTGTAATATTTTTGTCGCTTTGATGGAGAAATGTCCTTGATTCATTAACATTATGCCATTATCTTTATTTATACTTTTGTCTGTTTTGATTAGGGWAAGCAATATTTTGACGTATTATGCAATAAATTGAGACAATTTTAATTTAGTTGTATCTTTCATAGATTTTTAAAATAAAAGAACAATTTATATTAATAATGAATTAATGATTTTAGTTTTTTTAATATTTTAATTATTGAAAAAACCTAASTAGGGTACTAAATGCTTCTTGTTGGTAAATTTTTTATAGGTTCCTGTTCAATACAGTAAAGTTACTTTACCTAAGAATCGTAAATTTATTAATGTTAAGAATAAATGATAAACATTTTCATCAATTTTGTAGTTTTACGCGATAAGTTGATTTATGTTTGACAGAGACAACATATGTTTCAATGAAATTCTCTATAGCAGCAGTTCCTAAACTTTTTTTTGTGGTGCCCTTTTTAGGAATAAATTCAGCAGTGGTACCCTGCTGTTAATATCATGAAAAACAGGACAAAAAAATACTCAAAGATAATTAATTTTACTAATTTTTTTAAACTTAATACAGTCTAAGCTAACTACATAATACTAAAGTARTTATAACTTTAATTATTAATATAAAAATATTACAAATAAAATAAATTTCTATGAAAAAAAATTCTATACAGTTTAAATTATTTGTTATGAGCCGTAGACCACATGAAAGTGCTCGGCGGTACACATTTAGAGAACTGCTGCGATGTGGTATATAATATAAAAATAAAATATTGCACACCAATAAACAATACAAACATTTATAATTTTTTTTTTCATGTTTTTCAGCTGCTAAACATCAAATTAATGAAGAATTCAAAAAAAATAAAACTGTCTCAGATCCTGCAGTAGTTCAAAATGTATGAGTATAATTTAAATAACTTACTAATGATAGCTTTATAGTTTTAATTTGATTTAATCTACATTATAAACATATCATTTAAAATATTGTATTTTTAATTAATTTAATGCATTTTTTGTTTTCCTTACTACTATGCAGCTATGCTTTCTATATTAAGTTGTTTTATTTTTCTACAGCTCATAACCTTTGCTCAAGATGTTGAGCATGAACTCTTAACACAAGTAGTTCAAGCAGAAAGAGTAAATGAAACAAAATTTAGTGAGTTCCTAATTCATTTAAGATAATTATTTTTGTTTCCCTATTTTATGTCTAGACAACAATAATTATCGTTAATTGCATGTTATTTTATATTTAAGAATTGAATTTAGATCCAGAACGTCATACTATGGAGAATATACCATATGTTGAATTAGATAATGAAACATATGAAAAATGGAAAGAAGAAAAAAAGAAAAAAAGCAAGAAAAATGAAAAGTGTTGTTGTGATTAGATTGATTAGATTGTAATTAAATTGTTTTCTGAAAAAATGTAAAATTATGATATTAAATGTAATTAAATATTTTTATAGAATTATACGCTTGATAATGTAGTAAAAGTAAACACTATGGTCTCCATTATATTTGTTATTTACAGGACACTATGTACTTTATTCAAATGTTGTTAAGATCTATGATGTTGCAGACATATCCGCAGCATAATTGTATGACTTATTTATCAATATACTGGGTGATTCACCAATCATGCCCATTTTTCTTCAAAAATGTAGTTAATTAAAATTTAATTTTTAAAAWTTTTAAATACCTACTTAGAGATCATATTTTCAAATTTTCAAGATTTTTGTAATACTTAAAAAGTGTCTTCTTTAATAACTGTTAATTGTTCAGTAGAAATTTTTCTAAAAAATTTGACGTAGCTGAATTATAATTTGTACAATCAGTCTTTGAGTTATTTAATTATAAGTTAGCTGGTTTAAGCTTAACAAATTTATATAAAAATTTCAACTCAAGTTAAATCAATGAACAAAAATAAAAAAATATATAATCAAAAGTCCACATTGCTTCAATGTATTAAAAAATCAATGAAATTTATTATAATTGCAAACAATGAGAGAACTATGGGCTCTTATATGTAAAAGCATTTTATGGAAGATATACATCTTGTTTATTTAAAAATTATATCATATTTTCAGCTGGGACTACAACAGGTAATTTTGAATGACAATTTTAGTAAAAACATAGTTAAATTTCTATTTAGGTCTTATATATGTGGAAAACTATTAGATTTGATACAGTGTGAAAATAAGAAGGAAAGAAACCTATTAGAAATTCTATGACAATATAATTTTAAGATTAAAAAGATTTTTCGAAAATTATTTCTTAGTTCAAATAGTTGGGTATAATATTCGATTATTTCTAGAACATTTGCTATTTACCAGTTTACAAAAATCAAATGGTTTTTTTTTTCAAGATTTTATATCATGGACATACAACAAGAAAAGGTATGATATATCGTAATAAAACAGTGGCGTATTTAGGCCTGAATTTTGGGTAGGGTTTTATTTTTATTACCTGCAGTTATTGTTGAACAGAGTGACTAATTTTGTGAAATAAATAAGTAGCCAGTAGGTATAACCTATATCTAGATTAAAATTAATCTAAATATTTTAAAAATATCATTATGCATAAATAATAACATTTATGACTGATATGTTAATGCTTTTAGTCTACTGGCTACAGTTAATGTTATTAAATTAATATAAAAATCATTTAAATTTTTAATATTGAGCAAATTTCAACTTAAGTCTATAAAAAAAACTGTATTTTACTTTTAAGATTTTTAGTTAGACTCTTTTAAGTCCAATATAACATCATAAACATCAGGAATTGCTACAAAGCCGTTCTATCTTTAATTGAAAGTCTTATGGCTGCCTCATCATAGAATTTACAAATGCACCTTAATTACTTTTCTTAATGGAATAAAAATAGCAAGTCATAATAAATTTATACATACAACTAAAACGTTCACCCAAAACGTTACTTTAAGTAATGTAGATACCAATTCCTACATCTGACACAGGCAGATAGTTAGACTTAATACTTAACAAAAACTGCCTTGGAATAAACACCTTCGAACTTCAGATCTCGCTTAATTGGAAACAAAATATAAATACTCCACTTTAAACACCTAATTATCTTTTTCTGCTATAAATAGATATAAAATGATTAACTGAGAACTGACTGATTTAGGTATCAACACACAGCCTAAACTACTGGGCCTAGAGACATGAAATATTCACAGAGGTTCCTCATACAACATAGACGAGTTGAGAATTCAAATGTCAGTACTCAGTAGAGAACAATGACAAACATAACCTTATACTGTTTAGATTTATTATGTACTTACCACCTACTAAGTGCCAAGTACAATATAGTTGTTCCAATTGCTAGCGACTTAGTCCAATTAAGTAACTATACTACATAATAACTTAAGATTGTATATCTACTACTTACTATAACGCATCTATTATACATACATCTAAGTTGAATATTCAAACTTTAATATTGCGTTGTGAGCAATTAAACATAACTTTTATAAATAAATGGTTAATGGGTTCATTAGTTYTCCTTCTCTTCTAAACTGTATCCCCTTTAATGTTTCTTCTTACAGTAACCATTCTGTTCACTTTTCTATATCCCTAATATCAACTTTTTTCGTCTAACTAAGACTTTAATTTCATATTTTACTTTAAATTTGTGCGCAGGTAATATTATTCTATTGATTATTTTTAGTCATATTAGATATTTGCCTTATTATATAATATTATTATTTTACTATATATTAGTCGTAGTGTAATGTTAATCACTATTAAATTGTTTGAATAAATATTAAATATTATTATTATTATTACTTAGTTAGTCATATATTTATTACAGCATAATTAAATGCAATATTCATGTATACTCTCCATAAGATAGAAGATAAATCTTTAAAATACCAATCTTAAGTCAAGTTATAGTTTTACTATTTAAATAAATATTAATTTTGATTCTGACAAATTTTAACCAATTGTGCAGTTGTCCTCTCCTACTGTTTTATACTGACAGGATTAGTTTATTGATGGTTAGATTGTCATCTTTTATAAGTTGAGAATATGAAACATGGGTATGGTTATTTTTAAGTAAAACAAAAGCTCATTTTCAAAACACAGTAATTATATGATAGTAAATTACTATATTTTGTAAAAACATGACATGGATACATACAAAAAAAATATTTTGAACAGAAATAGAGAAAATATAAGTATATAGGTTAGAGAACTTATGTCATACATTTATTATGGTAGATATGGAATAATTAAAATGTTTAAAACATTCTTAAACAGTAGACTTATTGATTTACAATTTAAAATATAATGACTAATGAAAATGGCATTCAAATAATTTACAGCTGCTACCAAGGTGGCAATTTACATGAATAATAAACTTCATAAGACATATATATTTTTATAAGTCTGCAGAATGCAGTACATTTATTATGTTTTATCATTCTAAGATTTTTTATGACAAATATAACATATTAAAGCCTACAATAGGATTTCTGATTATTTTGAATAGTCACAACTACTTGTGTAAAAATCATAARATCTTAAAATAAACTGACTTATAAACATTCAGGTACAAATTAAATAAACACTCAAAATTCTCACAAAAATAACTTTAAATTATACAAAATATTAATGTGTTTACAGTTAAAGAGTTGATGCGGATGTAAACACGTGACATAGTTAAATTAAATTTAAAATATAATACTGATATTTAATTACAACAAATTAATCTTGTAATAATAACATGGTAGTTCACAATAAAATAAATATTACGTTTTTTTTTCATTTCGTAATTTAGTTATTAAACATACCACAAGAAACTATAATTAAGAGGATATTAATTGGTAAGCCAATAATTGTTTTTTTATTGTATATTGCATGTGAAAATATTTAAGAATGTTTTAATATAAATAATTCATCAACCAATACAATTCAGACAATTGTGAAAAAATGCAATTTATTCAATTAAAGTTTGGTATTTTATACCAACAAATTATTAACGGCCATTCACGCTAAAACACACAATTATTTGGTAGGCCTAATAAAAAAAAAGAACAGTATTTATGAAAATGTAAAACACATCAGACTACAGCTTAACACTACAAAACCAAAATATTAAATTTTAAAGTTAAAAAAATAATATATTATGACATAAATAGGAATTAAATATAATTACCACAGAAATAATTTAAATAAATATAGGCAATAAATAATAAGATTTGGTAAAATCAAAAATCTTTCAATTTCTTCGAAAAGTTGTTTTTAGAGAAAATAAATTATTTTCAAGATCTGATAAATAACTATCACATTCAAAAATATAAAAAACAATAAAATAATTTAAAATAAACCAATGCATATATTATACATAATTTTTTTTCAACTATAAAGATCTAGTAAAATAAATAAAATTTGTAAAACGGATCTTCGTATAAATTTATTTTTGAATACTTTTTAAATTTATGTTTTTTCTAATGCCAAAATAAAAATATAATATAATATATGATTSTTCAAATTCACTCATATTTAATAAATAGGTAATACAATAATTTCTAATATTAAAGACATGATTCTTTACTAGTTCTAAAAATAAATTTATTAGGTATACATCATTAATTATAGATTTGGAAAATTATTTTAAGCAATGAGTTAGAATGATAATTGTGTCATAATATAATGGACAAATTTTTGTATTGATTAACATAAATTCTTAATATATATTTGTTGTTTAAAAAAAMATATTTAAGCTTATTATAAAATATATTGTCTTTCTATCAAATTTTCAGATATTGTAAAACAATTTTTCTCGTTTGATTTTTAAACTATAAGCAAAATGGAAATGATTTACTCTACATGAAAAATATTGTTATATTATTTAAACTATTTGAATTATGAAATGTAATTTAATGTTAAACAAGTAAGAAAACCTAATTTTGATAGAAAATGTATTCTGATATGATTTCAGTAAAAAGTTAATATTGTTAAATAATTTTAATGTCAACGATCGAGAATATAAGCAAAATATTTTACTCAAAATATATTATTAATCAATTTAATTATATGTCAACAATTACAAAGTTAGCATTCACCTAAGCATATAGATATAATTTTAATATTTAAAAACTATTGAATGTTATTAATTCAAAACTGTATATATATATATATATATATATATATATATAAGTGGAAACAGGTTTGTCAAACAATACAAATATATTTCATAAGTAGTGTTATGAATATTATTTTTAAGTTAAATATTTCAATTAAAATATGCTGAAACTATAGAAATTTAATAAATATATTATATTAATAGTAAAATATTTTAATATAAAAAGAAATAATTAAATGATTTGTTTTTTTTTAAAAAAATACCAAATATAAATTCTATATAAAAGGATCATACTAATGTTGTAAAATGCTAATATATAATTTAATATAATAATAAAATTATAATAATACTTGACGCATCAAGTACTGATTAGTTGTAATTATTTTTTCTTTTTAAAGTTTTTGTTAATTTATCAAATATTATTATTAAGTTTTTGATTGCTTAAAATATATAATTTTTAATCTATGCCTGTGTTGTTGATGTATTAGTATGAGATAAGACAGGAGTCGAGCAATATGGACAATCTTTAATCGTTTCTACACACTGATTACACAACACAAAGTGATTACAAGGTCCCAATGTGACACTTCTATTACGCTCTTCGCATAACATGCATTTGGTAGCAGTTTGTAAGTATAAAACCTAAACCAAACAAAAGTTATTATTTATTAAATAAAAGAATGTAATAAGAAGTGTTAGATATAATTATTTAAATATGATAAGTAGGACCCGGATTTCAATGCAAAAAGCATATTTTGAATGATCTTAGACAATGATTTCTAAGAACATAATTTGTTTTATGTAACGAGTGTTTCAAACCAAAAAATTTTATTTTGCATTCGTTKCAAAATACTTCAGCGTTTTTGCATTATGCATTTTYAACATCATTGGTCAGTTTTAGGTTCTTAATGCATATTTGCTCAATTGAGCACATTAATCACTGTCTATTTTAGTAATGATGTTTGTAATGAATAAAATATTGCCTCGAAACATATAAGTGTCAACATCATGTAGCATCGACATTTTATTCCATTTTCAGTATTTTTTTTTTAAATAAGATAATAAATAATTATTAATTTTAATTATAAATACCAAATTAATATATGAAAATTTAAAATAAATAGTATAAATTGAATTCTTAAAGGTMATTTTGATGACCTTTAAGAATTCAAAATGCGTTTTTCAAAGATATTTTTGGTGGCTTTTTTTTAGTGCATATGTGTATGGTTTTAAGTGYATTTAAAACCAGGCCCTAGTAATAAGTATACATATTATTCTAGTTTGGTAATACTTTTAAATGAGGTTATTTGTAATATCAATTTTTAACATTAAATATTTACCTTTTCGATTTCTTCTAAATCATTTCTCATTTGACTCTGTAATGACTTTAATACAGATAATGATAAATTTCTAATTTCTGAGACCCTACGTAGTCCGTGAAGATAAGGTGAACCTTGTAATAAATCTACTTCTTGTTGTAATGATTTTGCTTGATTGATAGCCTTATAAAAATAATAGTTAATAAAATGCAATAATTTTTGTATTTAATTATATTCACTTCATCTCTTTGTTGTTCAGCAATTTTTAATTTATTATTTGAATCTTCAGTCTCTCTTTGCCATGCTTCATAAGTGCATCTAACTTGTGACATTCGTTCAGATTCCCAAGACACTAATTTAGATCTACAGTTTAATAATTCTTCTTGCAATCTTTGAACCTAAAAATAACAAAATATTGATAAACTATTATTTTTTCAATTTAGTGTTATTATAATATAATATATATATTTTGTACAGTTAACTTTTGTCTTTTTGATCATGTTTTGTAAATATTAAAATTATTTACATGGTATGAGAATATGTGTATGGAAAAATCAAAATTGAATGTAGTTCAATTAATACATTAAAATTAATCCAAAATTTGTATTCTAGAYCACGCCAAAACCAAAGAAAAAACTATTATATTAATATCAATATTATCAAATTGATATAGAATTAAAAAAAAAAAAATTAAGTAATCGGTTTGAGAATATCTAATAAAACCTTAGTATTAAAAAACATTTTTGTTGAAATATAATATAATATTATAATAACTTTGAAAAATGAATGTACTCCTTGTAAAATACGAGTAATTTCTAATTAATTACTTTATCGAAAACAATATATTACATTTGAGCAAGTTCTGATAATAGCCAAAAACAAAAACATTCAAACATCAATATAAAAAAAATAAAATGAAACGTACAATTTTGTAAAATATTCAACAGACAAAAAGACTTAAGCTAAGAGGTAAATATTACAAAAAATAACATTACTTCATTTGAATTTGAAGGACTAATTGGAAATGTGTTTGTGGTTCCTGGAGAACCAATACCAAACAAACCAGTTGAGCCATAATTGTTACCAGTAACAATATTTAAATGACCTAAACCATCTTGTTGGTTATACCTAGATTTTTGTATCATATTGTTTTGCATATGTTTTAATGGAGAAGCTATTGTTGGAGAAAAATGACCAATACTATTATGGCGTGTAAGAGGAATATTAACTGGAGCTGAACTTCCTAAAATATCTAGAAATATGTGTGTATGAGAAAAAAATTAAACAAATTATATAATTAAGAAAAACATATATAATTAAAATTACCAGAAGCTTGTAAACTTGAAGATAGAGGATTATTTAATATTGGAGATTCATTTTCTCGATCAACAGAGAAATTTAAATTATCTTCCATGACTAAATCATCTAAATTTCCTGAAAAAAAAAAAAAATATATATATATAYTAATATTATATATTTAAGCACATTTCAACTAAGTAAAAAATTAAAACATACCATTCATTGTAGTTGTAGGTTGATAAGAAGAAAAATGATTCATATATGATGAGTTACTATTACCATTAGATACAACAGGTCCGAATATGGAACTATGTCTTCTTTGTGGTTCAACATTAGGTAACAATGATTGAGAATCAAATGAATTTAATAGCTAAAAATGAATAAATATGTAGTAAATTACATGAAATAATGAAAATAAATATTTACAGCTTGTATCGTGTCTTCATGGGCTATTTGAAATTGTTGTACATTAAATTCAGATCTAGACAAATGGGCACCAGGAGCTTTATTAGGAGAGCCAATACTTGAAGTGCATTCTGAAAGATCCCCACTTCCATTCTATAAGCATAACACATCGTTCAAATAAGAGCGAGTGTTTAAAATTCAAAAGTTACTAACCGATGAACTATTTTTGTCATTATCAATTTTTTTTACCGGAGATCTTATACATTCTGTCCCTATTGAAGGTACAGCATTAGATAATATATCCGCTAAATCTGTTGAAGAATCTAATCCAGCAGCTGATTCACGAGCAATAATCATTTCCTCTGAATAATTAAGTAGATTATTACATTAAGTCAATTCATTAAAATGAAGGCAATACTGTAATGTAAATACATACGATCAACATGTGCAAAAGCACAAAACACTCCGCGAGGACAATATCCAGCTTGTTGTACATCATTACATTTTGTAGACTTATATATTTCAGGGTGAAACTGTTGTTCGGTTCTAGTGTGACAATATGCACATGAGTCGCCACTTTCACAATTACTTGGCTCGCCCCATTCATCTCCATGTTTTACGCTAGGACACGGAGTAGACCTAAAATGTTCAAGTTAATTTGTTACTTACATTTTTTAACAATGAATATTAACAATAAAAAAACATGCCTGTACTTGTATTTCCTTGGATTTCTTCTCTTGTCTCTACTATTATGATATTGAGGACATGCATATCCTTGTCGACAAAGACGAGGAGGACGTTGACACTGGTCAGTTTTATAATTTGATAAAACAAAATTAGTATCTATGAAGTAAAAATATATTTAATTAATACAAAATAGTAACAATTGTATATAATATAAATAATCAAAATTAAATTATATACAAATCCTACCCTGCCATTTAGGATCTTCATTCATTAAATTTTTTTCTTTATCTAATACATTTGGTCCATCTAAATCTACATTATTATCATCATCATTTTCAGTTACCTAATRAAAGTTATAAAATCTATTATTAAAAATACTAMATTTTTAAATGAATTAAATACCTTTTGCTCGTTAATATCATATACAGGTGGTCTTAAATCATGATTCCCATGTGCAAAAGCACAATGTGGCCCATTTTTTGTGCAAAATCCCCTACTGTCAGTATCATGAACACACATGCATGTCTTATAATATCGCAAATGGTAACGTCTTTCGGTATCCCCAGCTGTTCGGTGTAAATATTGGCACCTTTTATTAAGTTAAAAATATAAAAATATAATAAATATAAAAATTATCTATAAATACAATTGAAAATCTGATAATTGGGCGAACTATTATTTTGAATGTGCTACATGAAAAACATGTGTGTTAAATACAGGCATAATACACAGCCAAGAAATTAATCAATTTCATTCTGTATTCATTCAAGAACATTTCAACGATTATAAGAGAAAGGAAATATTACATACGTAGATTTTACACGTGTTTCATATGTATATTAACAAAAAAATAAAAATGATAAGTTAAGTTGGTTAAATTTTCAAGTCAAAAAAATTAGTACCGGGTAAGTTTGCATTCAATTTAAAGATAAAATATTTTTACACATTACAATTTAACATCATTTATGAATGCTGATAAATAATAGGTCTGTTATAAAGGATGTTCCTTGTTATTCTTAACTTGAATCAATGAAACGATTAAACTGTTTKTTTTTATCCCCTATATTGTTTTATATGCAGATCAAAATTGTACATACATTATTTAAGTTCAATTTGTTCAGTAAACAAACATTTGTTAAAATTTGTTATTTAATTAAATATTATTTAACTTGAATACAATGTAYTAAATTCAAAATCTTATTAGAAATGAAAAAACAAAATTAATATTTAAATGAAAAATTTGGGTCATGAAAAATTAAATAATCAAGTATTTGCATGGTTTTTATAATTTTACATTTTTTTTTTTTATATTAATTTTATGCAAAAATGTAACATTTATTTATTTAATGAGTAATTAGCATTTAAAATATATTGCACAATACTAAAATAATTAGCAATATTCATAGATTACACATTATCATATGTATAATTTTATATAGGTAATATGAAATGAATAAATATGTTTTACAGAGTATGAGTTAAAGCRCTATTGAAATAGGTTTGAGGAAAGAAGAGAAGAACAGTTTAATCAATTATTAGATAAGTACCTATCAGATAAATTGCATATTGTATATAAAWTTAAACGGTATCTACTAAGTAAGCAAAATGTAAGTAAATGTTTTCATAAATAAAAAACAAAATAGAATAAAATGTTTTTATTAGGGAGAAGTAATACTACCACAGTTCCTTTGCAATTATACGCGAAAAAGAGATTTTTAAAACACACAACTTAATTAAAATTAGACAAATTCACATTCAATATCAATAATAAGTATGTTGAAATCATAAAATATATTTAACATGCAATACGTCATTTCTTACTCGTCTCCTTTAGTACAAACTCCAGTGGTCTCATCATATTGTGTACAATAATCATCTGCACTATAGTTAAATGTCCCATCTCTTTTTCTTACTGGTCTACGACGTCGCTGATTCATAAAATGCCAATTGAAACAAGTATAGGGTCTATGTTGTGTACATTTGTGTTGTAAAAACAATGGACACTGCTCAACACGAAACTCTTTTAAATATCTGCAATAATACAAACAATTTGAATAATACCAAACAATACTATAAACTAAATTTTTATAAAAATATATGTAACAATTATTGGAGGCTAAATAATTAAAAGAAAATCATTCATAAAATCACGTCTTACGAATAATGATTAGGTTTCTCCATTTGGGCAGGAATCTTAGATTCTGACGGCATTTTGTTGCACTTGGTTTGCAACCTCAGATATTTTTTAAAATTATGGTTTTACTTGATGGGCCGCATCAACAGCGGTTCAATAATACAATTTCGGCAAATTTGGAGTGTTCTTCATTTCATTCATGATGCAAAGAAATAAAATAAATACTAAATAGTACCTWAACTCTAAAAGGCTAAGGCAGAATGTTTTTTTTTTTTTGACGACTTATGTTATTGTTTTACACTTTCCAAAATATTGATCACATGACTAAACCACGGTAACATATGTGGACGCAGTGTAGCCAATGGAAATTGTTATCTCTTGCATTACCGTTTCAACACTGATAACGGTGGCATTGATAAAGTAATCACCTTTCAAAAATTCCCCCTTTCGCTTATCCTTTCTAAAAACTTAAGCACCATTGGATTACTATTCAATTACGCAATACAAGCACTTATTTGGCCTTACTCGCCTTAGTAATGCCATTCACCAACGAAAGTCATTAAAACAGACTAATGGTAAGTACAATAGATATAATTGTATGTAAATTTGTTTATAACTAATAGTATAATACATTTTCAGGCACCATAATGGTCTAGAATTTGGTATTCATATATTTAGTCTTGGTAAATCTATTGCAGTGACAATAATTTATCTAATTAATTTTCAACTAAATATTTATTGATCATGGATAGAAACAACCGTAAGACGATCCGTGTAGGTTCACGTAAAAGTGAATTAGCATTAATCCAAACCAAATTTGTGATCGGCCAGTTAAAAGAATTACATCCAGAAATAGAATTTGAAATTGTCTCCATGACTACAATGGGAGACAGAGTCCTAGATAAACCTTTACCAAAAATTGGAGAGAAAAGTTTGTTCACTAAGGATCTTGAAGTTGCTCTACTTAGTGGTACTGTTGATTTCATTGTACATTCATTGAAGGATTTACCAACTGTGATGGAAATTGGAACAACAATTGGTGCTGTATTAAAACGAGATGATCCAAGAGATGCTCTAGTACTTCGAGAGGATTGTAATGAATATCAACTGGACTCATTACCTTCAAAGAGCTTTATTGGTAAGTATCAAATAATTATTTGTAATACCTGTATGAAATACATACAATATGTTATAATGTTGATGTCTGTAGGTATACACACACATTATGCCGAATAGTAATTATACCAACTTCAACATCTACTTGTTATTACTTCAATATTTCAAAAAACAGAATAGGTTACATTACATTTAGGCTGAAAAGCCTAATAGGTTATACTAAGATGGTTTATTATTTCAATTATCCATATTTTATTGATCTTTCAATATTGCTCCAAAAATATCATACTATTATTTTAAATTGATTAAAAAATCAAAATACTAGAACTTATAGTTCTCCATGTTTTATAAATATGCTGAGAATATTCATCATCTCTCCTGAATATCAGTCCCCATATGTTTTTCTKATATTTGTTATTAAAAAGTATGTACCTGGTGATTTATGAATAAATTATATAGTTTGTTTATATAGKTTTACATTTCATTAGTCAGTGTGTTAATGTATACAATTATAATTTGTTTTATCAATACTAATTTGAATATTAATTATATAGGTACCTAGGTACTTTTATACTTTTATGTACTTAATGTTTAATGGATATACAATTGTATGTTCTATTTAATCTATTATTGTATGTAAGATAAGACTTCTGAATATACAATTTAATTTAATTTGTTTAGTAATTGGAATGATTGTAATAAGCAAGCATGTATTTAAAATGCAATTGTTTAAATAATACCTATGCTTAATACATTCTGAAACAACAAAAATTTATCAATATTTAAAGTGTATACCAGGTATTTGATTAACAAAACTAATAAAACTTATATACAGATTGGTTCATGGGTATGCTCAATSCTCCACCACATTTTTCCTCTAATAATTAATTTATTGAAATATTTGTTTGCACTACTTAAAGAGTGTGATGGTGTGAAATTGTTTTATAGCCAAATAAAATTATTTTTCTTTAATAAAAATTGCTTTTTTCTACTGTAAATTAT